GGGGAGGAGGAGGAGGAGGAGGAGGAGGAGGAGGAGGAGGAGGTGTTAAAGACATAATTACATACAGTCACTGAGCACTTTATTAGGAACACCTGTCCACCTGCTGATTGATGCAGCTGTCGGCCAATCACGTGGCAGCAGTTTCAGGTAATGTTCAAACATCAAACAGATCTGGTCTGATTGATCTGGTCTGATTGATCTGGTCTGATGGATCTGGTCTGATTGATCTGGTCTGATGGATCTGGTCTGATTGATCTGGTCTGATGGATCTGGTCTGATTGATCTGGTCTGATGGACCCGGTCTGATTGATCAAAGCTAAAGTCATCTCATACTGGTTTTTGTCAACGAACTCCACAGGTGTAATCTTGTGTGTTTCTGCAGCTCAGCTACATGCTCATGCTACCAGGCTAACAGGCAGGTGTACAGGTGTACAGGTGTACAGGTGAGTGCTGACCGTCTCGGCTCATTCCCACAGACAGGCACTTCTTGAAGCGACACTGCTGGCAGCGGTTCCTGTTGATCCTCATGATTGTGCAGGTCTCGTTCTTCAGACACTTCTTATACTGGATGTTCTGCTGGATGCTGCGACGGAAGAAACCCTGCAGGACACAGAGACCAGCTTCAGGACAGAGAGCAGCTTCAGGACTGAGACCAGCTCCAGGACAGAGACCAGCTCCAGGACTGAGACCAGCATCAGGACTGAGACCAGCTCCAGGACTGAGACCAGCTTCAGGACTGAGACCAGCTCCAGGACAGAGACCAGCTCCAGGACTGAGACCAGCTCCAGGACAGAGACCAGCTCCAGGAGTGTCCCAGCTCTGCAGTGATTTGTCAGTCTGTCTGTCGTGTTTCATTCCAGCACGTTCACGTCCAGACGACTGAATCTGAGGCAGTAACTGAAGCTGAAACACTTGTCTGGCCTGAGGTGGTTTTTGTTTAGAAACAGTTTTAAAATGGAAGTTTAAACTAATCTGATTGGACGAGAGTCATTCCATGAGTGCTGATACTGTGTCCTGTAGCGTGTCAGAACTGTGTTTCAACTTAGCAGCTGACGGGACAATGGTTAAAACCAAAAGACTGAAAACAGAAAGTATTAGTGAGAAAAAAGTTTTATGTTGTCAAGGTTGCTAGGCGACAGGAGCCGCGCTTTGCCACGCAACGGTAACAGTTGGTAACACAAAGTGAAAACCTTTCGTGGACCAAATCTGTGTGTGTGTGTGTGTGTGTGTGTGTGTGTGTGTGTGTGTGTGTGTGTGTGTGTGGTCTCACCTTGCAGCCCTCGCAGGCGTGAACTCCGTAATGGAAACCTGAGGCCACGTCGCCACAGACTTTACACAGCAGCACCATCCCGTTCAGCTCTGAAACACAGAGTCAAAGGAGATGAACCAACAGACCAACGTGATGTGTGGAGTTCCCCAGGAGTCAGTCCTCACTGGTTAGCATGCTAACTTCAGTAGAAGCAAAGAGGTTGATAGAGACGAGAGTCAACATCGGTGTTTGTTTCCACCTCTGGAGACAGATGTTGGTGAGTAAAGGAGTGAAGTTTGAATGTTTCAGTAAACACCTGCTAATGCTAACGTTAGCAGTGTAGCAATAGCAAAAACTCACATATAGCTTCTTAATCCTCTAAATAATTCTAAACTTCAGAAACAGGGTTAAATAAACTACAGTTTTCATAATGTGACTCAAATATCATCATCATCAGACGGACTGGGCTCTTACTGGTCAGACTGGCCACCGACTTGCTGGGCGACGCCCTCAGAGATCCTCCGTCGTCTCGGCCTCGAGGTGAACCTCCTGCTGAGGAGGAGGCCGAGGAGGAGCCGTCTTCACCTGATGAGCCTGAACCGGAGCTGCTGCTGAGGAAGGAGGGCGTTAACGAGGAGGAGGAGGAGGAGGTGAAGCAGGGCTGGGAGTTGGAGTTCTCACTGAACATGGAGACTGGACTGGTCCGGGTCGGAGAACCTCCACATGAACCCACGTAGGAGATCACACCTCCTGCAGGAGAGAGGAGACCCGGTCAGTGAAGACAAGTGTTATGACTTTTCGACCATTTAATATCAAATACATGTATTCATTCATTGATTTGTTTATTACTGAGTCAGTTTCAGGCCTCCATACTTCAATATGAATGTAATGTTGTGTCTTTGTGTTTATATCTTAGCCACAGGTCTGTTGTTCTGTGACCTGATGGTGGCGCCACACAGACGATCAGACACAAGCAAAAACCTACAGCTGATGTTTTGTTGTTTTACAGTAGAAGAAGAAGAAGGTGTGAGCGGCAGCAGCAGCTGGTGTGGGATCAGTCTGAGCTCACGCTGCCAGACATGAGGGGGGGGGTGTGTCTTTGTGTTTATATCTTAGCCACAGGTCTGTTGTTCTGTGACCTGATGGTGGCGCCACACAGACGATCAGACACAAGCAAAAACCTACAGCTGATGTTTTGTTGTTTTACAGTAGAAGAAGAAGAAGGTGTGAGCGGCAGCAGCAGCTGGTGTGGGATCAGTCTGAGCTCACGCTGCCAGACATGGGGGGGGGGGGGGGTTCATGCAGAGGAAGCCTGGCTGTTTTCTGTAGCTGTGGTAACGGGGGGGGGTTCTGCTTTCTAGGAATTTTAAGAACAGAGAGGGGAGGGGTTGTCTGTGTGAGAGCGAGTAGACTCCTCCCCTCACCCTCCCTCCCTCCCCCAGCACCCCCCCCCCCCCCCCCCCCCAACCCCCCCCCCCCAGACCCTCTTCTAATTTACTCCAATGGATAAAGACAAAATAAACAATAAAATCATCAAATCTTGTCTCTGTTTGATCTGATCTCTGATGTTGATAAGAGCCCGATCAATAAACTTTATTATTATTATTGATCAGTAATAATTGATATTTAATGTAAAGTAATGACAGAGAAAATGATACATGCAGATAAACACACACACACACACACACACACACACACCTTCACACCTGTCGTCACTCACAGGGTCACTGTGTCAGGTGTTGCCATGGTAACCAAGCACACACAGCAGTTGTTTACACTGTAGGTCTGTCTTAGTGTGGTGTTGTTTTTGTTGGTCAAACTGAGGAAGATGAGGGAGGTGATGATGTAAACAGGAAGTCCTGCATTGATCCATCATAGCCATTACATAACCGCACACAACACCTAGAGAGGCCGCCTCCCACCACCTGTCCACCTGTCCAACTGGGTCACCATGACAGGCACAAGGGGAGGAGCCACCAACACAAAGGACTTCAGGGTGGACCTCACCTGTCCACGCCGTGTGGTGTCACACCTGTCAGGAGCAAACCATGACCTCTGCCCTCACTGACCTCTGACCTCTGCCTCAGCTTTTATATTGAATCACAACTTTATTTGTCCATTTAGCAGGAAGTGATGTCACGGCCTGATGCCACTGAGTCCTGCTCCAAACATGGAGGGAATATTCCAGAGGTATCACACAGGTGAACATCAGGTGATCAGAGGTGAGACGTGACACACACACATGCATCGACAGCTGTAGCTTCCTCTGACAGGAAGTCAAGCTTCAGCTGCTTCATCAGAATCCTGAAACGTCTGAACACGCCACGATAAAAACATTCACATGGATTCAACCCAACGACGTTTACGTCACATTTAATGAGCTCAAACAAGAATGTTGTGACTAATCACTGCAGAGCTAATGTAATTTATATACATGTACATACATATATATATATATATATATATATGTGTGTGTGTGTGTGTGTGCTGTGTTTATGAAACATCGTCTTCCTCTAATTGTTCTTCTTTATATTGAATTATATTGTTTTTCCTCCTTATCTCTGTCCTGCTTTTGATTCGTTTGTAAAAGCTCTTTGTAAACTCTGATTTTAAAAGTGCTACATAAATGAAGTTATATATATCCATATTATATACACACACACACACACATATATTCAGACGTTTCAGGATTGCTGATGAAGCAGCTGAAGCTGACTTCCTGTCAGAGGAAGCTAGCAGCTTGTTAAATGCATTGTGACTGGTGGTCACGTCTCAGCCTCTGATCCCTCTGATGGTTCACCTGTGTGATACACTCGGAATATTCCCTACCATGTTTGGAGCAGGACCAGTGGCAGATCAGGCCGTGACATCACTTTCCTGCTAAATGGCAAATAAAGTTGTGATTCAAATAAATAAAAGCTGAGGCAGAGGGTCAGAGGTTCAGCTGGAGGGAGAGGTCATCGGTTTTGCTCCTGAAACCGGTGTGACACGCACACGGCCGTGGACAGGTGAGGTCCACCGCTGAAGTCCTTTGTGTTGGTGGCTCCTCGCCCTTGTGCCTGTCATGTGTGACCCAGTTGGACAGGTGGACAGGTGGTGACGGAGGCGGCCTCTCTAGGTGTGTGTGTGCTGTGGTTATGGTAATGGGCTATGATGGATCAATGCAGGACTTTCCCTGTTATACATCAGTCACCTCCCTACCAGCTTCTCAGTTTGACAACAACAAACGAAGCATAACCAACACTAAGACAGACTACAGTGGCTAAACAACTCTGTGTGTGCTTGTACCATGGCAACACCTGACAACAGTGACCCTGTGAGTGACAAATGGACCAGGTGTGAAGGTGTGTGTGTGTGGTGATGGTGTGTGGTGTGTGTTTATGCTGCCAATGGTATCATTACTTTCTCTGTCATTACTTTACATTTAAATATCAATTATTACTGATCAAATAATAGATAATAAAGTTTTATGGATCGGGCTCTTATCAACATCAGGAGATTCAGATCAAACAGTAGACAGATGATTTGGATGATTTATTATTTTTTTTGTGCCTTTATCCATTGGAGTAAATTAGAAGAGGGGTCTGCGGCGGGCGGGTGCTGCTGGGAGGAGAGGAGGCGTTGAGGGGGAGAGTCTACTCGCTCTCATCACATACAACCCCTCCCCTCTCTTTCTTAAAATTCCTAGAAAGGCAGGAACCCCCGTTACCAACAGCCAGGCTTCCTACTGCATGAATACGCCCCCCCCCCCTCCCCGCCCCCCCCCCCATGCCTGCTGGCCAGCTGAGCTAAGCCTGATGCCCACACCAGCTGCTGCCTGCGCTCACAAACCTTTCTTCTACTTCTTTCTAGCTGATCAAAACAACAAAACATCAGCTGTAGGTTTCTGGCTTGTGTCTGATCGTCTGTGTGGCGCCAACCATGCAGGGTCACAGAACAACAGACGTGTGGCTAGATCATAGAAGCCAACAAAGACACAACATTAACATCAGTGATTTGACAGTCGGCAGGCCTGAAACTGACCACCAGTAAGTAAAACCAAATCAATTGAATGAATAATGTATTTGATATTATGTGCCATGGGTATCGCGGTGCGTCGAACAAAGTGTCGATACGATACGACTTGTCTGTTCACTGTTGACGATCGGGTCTCCTGCTCGTCCTGCAGGAGGTGTGTATCTCCTACCCGTGCGGTTCACTGTGGAGGTTCTCCGACCCGGTACCAGTCCAGTCTTCCATGTTTCAGTGAGAATCTCCTAACTCCCAGCCCCTGCTTCACCTCCTCCTTCCTCCTCCCTCCTCCGTTAACGCCCTCCTTCCTCAGCGAGCCAGGCTCCCGGTTTCAGGCTCATCAGGTGAAGACGGCTCCTCCTCGGCGCTCCTCCTCAGCAGGAGGGTCACTCGAGGCCGAGACGACGGAGGATCTCTGAAGGCGCGTCGTCCGCAGCAAGTCGTGTTGGCCCAGCCTCTGACCAGTAAGAGCCCAGTCCGTCTGATGATGATGATATTGGAGTCACATTATTGAAGTTATATCTGGCGTTCCATTAATTACTGCTACGTTTATGAATACTTAACGTGAGAACTCTATACCTTACAGTGTCTGAATATAATCTACATAAGTAGTCGCTAATCATACATCTGGAGGCGATATAACGAGCGTACTTAATCGCATCAAATCACCTAAATAAGAACTTCAGCCGAAACTCTCAAGAACAAATACCAATCACATCTTATATAGGCAGCTCATACCTCTCTCCCAACCTTCCCGCGAATCATATGGAAACAACCACAACAACCCGCATGTTGACTCTCGTTCTCTATCAACCTCTCTCTTCTACTGACAAGTTAGAACAATAAAAGCTCAACCATGAGGAACTGACTCCTGCCGGGAACTCCACACATCACAGTTGGTCTGGCTTGTTCATCTCCTTTGACTCTGTGTTTCAGACGCTCCCGTTACGTACGGGATTGCTCGGCCTGCTGTGTAAAGTCCCCTGTCGGCCGACCGGTGGCCTCAGTGCTTCTCCCATTACGGAGTTCACGCACTGCCGAAGCGGCGTTGCAATTGCCCGTGAGACCACTACACACACCACACACACACACACACACACTACACACACACACACACAACACAACACACCACAGATTTGTCCACGAAAGGTTCACCTTATGTGGTTACCAACTGTTACCGTTGCGTGGCAAAGCGCCGGCTCCTGTCGTCCTAAGCACACCGTGACCAAGATATCTCGTCTCTATAT